CCTTCCTTCCTTCCTTCCTTCCTTCCTTCCTTCCTTCCTTCCTTCCTCCCTTTCTTTCTTTTTTTTTTTGATTTAGCATTTTGACTGAAGGTACAGCCTTTTAATTTCCTGAAACAAACAAACAAACAAACAAACAAACAACAAACAAGCAAACAAAGAAACAAGCAAGGCAAAACCTGTTTGTGTTAGCATGTGCTTGTAATCCAAGTGTTTGGCAGCTTCAAGGAGTAGGTTTGTGAGTTGAAGCCAATTGGGCTACTGCACATGACTCTACCACACGACAAACAAGAAACAAACAAACAAACCACAAACCACAAACATGAAATGCATAGCAATTAAAAGGGAAACAAACAAAATTACACTTCTTATATTTCATTTTAATATTCCTTTGAAACACAGAGACCTGCAATCAAACTGACTTGTAATTAACAACAAATTCTAACTCAATATGATGACAAAGTTGATGAATTATATCATTTTAGAATATTTGCATCTGGTTTTTTTTTACCTGTACAGTGAAAAATAATAGCTGAGTCTTTAAGTAAAAGCTATTATTAGAATTTTTTATTATGTAGACGACATAAACATTCTTGAATTGTAGTAAAATATCAATAAATATGATTAGAATACAGAGTTGAGTGGATTAAAAGAAAAGCAAACCCATTGGAAAACAAAAATCAAATTTCCACAAAGATGTGATATTAATTAAAATAATTGATTTTATCACCATAAAAATGTGGGGTATATTGTGATAAATTTAAATTTTACTCAGTTGGTGTTTTCTTAGATTTTAGAAAAGAAAAACCATCATATCAGGTTTTAAATTGGCATCTACCTGAAGATCTACAAAAGAAATTTGATAATAGAATGCATCTCCTTACAGAAGAATTATCTTATGGCAGGTAATTTTTTTCCAGTTCTTTGAGCCAAAGTACTGCTTATCAAGACTTAAAAGTGAGTATATGATGAATGTATGATGCACTGAGTGAGGTGAAGAGAAATGATGAGATCCCCTGAAACTAGAGTTATAGAGGGGTGTGACCAACTATGTGGGTGCTGTGAACTGAGCTGTGGTCCTCTGGAAGAACAGCAAGTTCTCTTAGATGCTGAGACATCTCTCCAGCTCAAACATCTTTTCCAACAAGAACAGGGAACGTATTCTTCTCTAGTGCACAAACCACATTCTTGGTTCTGACATTAGAACACACCAAAATGAAAAAAAAATCCCAGTAATTTTCAAAATATTGAATTAATGCAAAAATCTCCTATCAAAGTGGGATGATAAAGAAATCAACAAAATATAAAAATACAAAAACACTCTAAAATAATCCATGAGAAAAATGGGAAAAATCAAGAGGAACATTTGAAAATACTGTATATCAAGGAAAAAGAGACAGAGCACAATGGAATAATGTGAAATACAAACAAATCAGGACATCCTCTGTGGCTGTTATTATCTCCTTAGGTGCAGACAAGGCAGTTTTTCACTATATGGAAACAGATAATGAAGAGAGACTTAAACAGAATACTAGGAGAAAGGAGAGGCTTAAAAATGACAGCAAGGATGATTGAAAAAATGAATAGTAAAAAAATTGGAATAAACAGAGCAAAGAGAATAGTAAGGTGGAAAACCACTAGAACCATTGAGAAAATAAATACGAAAGAACAATCAAATAATTAAATCCTAAAGTGGAAAATTACCCATTATTATTTAAAATGATAAAGATTGCAAGGGAACTAACATGATGTATCATCAAATTAGGTGACCCACATAAATGGACAGTTCCTATGGATATCTGTTGACAAAACTGACTCTAGGATGGATAGAAAATCTTAAACTTGTGAGATTAAATTATGTAGGAAACACCAAAGAAAATCTCTCATCAAGAAAGTCTAATATAGGGCTGTAGAAATGGCTCAGTGGTTAAGAGCACTGACTGCTCTTCCAGAGGTCCTGAGTTCAATTCCCATCAACCACATGGTGGCTCATAGCCATCTGTAATGGGATCTGATGCCCTCTTCTGATGTGTCTGAAGATGGCTACAGTGTATTCATACACATAAAATAAACAAATCTTTAAAAACAAACAAACAAACAAAAAACAACAACTAAAAAAAAGTCTAATATAATGTAGATTAAGTGGCAAATGAAGTGAAACACTTAAGAATTGATGGTAGTTCCTCTATAAGTATTTGAGGCAGTTGTACAGGGAAAAATACTTCTCAGCCAATTCTGTGAGTCTATCATTACTCTGTAACCAGAAACAAAAAACAAAGCAATATGACAAGACATTATAGAACTAATCTGGTGAAGAAATTTTGTGTATTCTATTGTATATTTCTAGCATAAATATAAAATAATAAAATTGATGAAAAAACGGATTGGAGAGGCCTCAAGTAGTTAAACATAGAACTCCTCTTAACAATTAGGTTACTACCAAGTCTATACTTTAAGCAACAGAAATCAGTCACTCAAAATATTGTGAGTATATGTATACATGCATATATGTATATGTGCATATATGTATATGTGTATATATAACATAAATATTGAGAGTTTGAGGACATAGGAAGCTCTTTGAGAGCCAACCTGTCTAACACCATGGTACAATATGGAGACACCGGAACTTTTTTTTTTGACACAAATTTTTATTGTCTTTTAAAAGGCTGTAAAAATTTAATTTCTACATGTTTTCATTTGTTTTTGGGTGCCAAAATAAATTGATCTCATAGAAGAGAGTGAAATAGCAGTCATAAGAGGAGAGAAAAGGAAAAAATCATTGGAACACATAACTGTTAAACATCATGTAATAAAACACAGAAAGGAGAAATGAGTTCTGTTCTTTTAAGGTACAAAAGAATAACTACAGTCAACAATTATTTATGACATATAGGTGAAAGAAGCTTATGAAGACTCACAACACACAGAAATGACAAACAAGAGATAGACTTGATTCTTCTGACACAGTATAGGATGTATCAAGTTATCACACTGTACTTCATAAATATATATTCATACTGTGTTAGCTACAATTTTTTTCCAAAAATGATGCATATTTTCTTTTTTCTAATTATAATGATAGTTTTATATAATGATAGTTTTATTCTCACTATATTTTAGTATATGCTTCATCTATAACCACCCAGTTGTACTGGTGAATACAAATCTTCCCTTCATCCTGTTATCTGATTTTAATGTGGCTACTCTCTTTTCTTTTTTTCTTTTTTTAAATATATTTTTTATAATTTATTTTTTCTCAAATCGTAATTAATTCACACAGGGGTTATAAACACAGAAAGGCAGGATGTGGGGAAAGGAATGACACTGGAGTGTGGGTCTTCAGGGGGAATACAGATATCTTCAGAACCAGGTATCGGCTGGGTGAAGGTTCAGGGGACAAGTCACTATGACTCTTCCTATGACTCGCTTGTCCTTATCTAAGTTGGTATTGTCTGCCAAGGCTACCTATTTACAAGGTCTATGACTACTCAGGCTGAGACACTGGAACTTGATTAAAAGAAATTCCTAAAGCCACCTCCCCTCAAATTCTTTGTTTCTGTGTGACTTTTGGAGACCCATCACCAACAAACTCAATGGCTGAGTCTGAATTTTTTACCTAAGACTGTGACTCAAAATAAGGTGGGAGATTTTGGAAATAGACCTCTGTCAGTAAAACCACAGACTGCATAATTTATAAGAGGCCATGTTGAAGAGATGGCTGCTTATAAAGGGAGTGGACATGAACACAGCACATAACACAGCTGCACAGGGCCTATGAAAAAATTCTGTCATATGAACACGAGCATCTGAAGTATGGGTTTGTTCAGTACCCAACTTGCTTTCAAGTTATTACTGCCTTGGTGTTTTACACTTCCTTTGCCTTCTTCCCTCTATGAATCTTCTAGGACTTGGAGAATTTTATCTCTCAGTTTGGAGACTCAGGTTTTGTCCTTGTGGCCCTGGGCTCCATAGTGAGCGTATATCAGACCAAGGAAGTTATTAAGGAGATGAACAGTGCCTTTGGTCACCTCCCTCAAGGGGTGCTATGGACATGTAAGGATTCTCTTTGGCCTAAAGATGTCAGATTGGCCCCAAATGTCAAAACCATGGATTGGCTTCCACAGACTGACCTTCTGGGTAAGCTCCTCATGGACCTGTGACTTCACTTCCATTTACATGATTTTGTGACTTAACTTGATATCTGACGTCTGAATGATTTGACTAACAGAAGAAAAGCCTGCTTACAAGAAAAGATTTATCTCCAGGGGTAAGGCAATAGCAGCTAGAATTCTTGGAGGGATCAGACTGACTATAGCATTGACTGCCTTATTCTTTCCAACTCACATAGGTCTCCAGTCCCTAGTTAGATATGATCAGTAATGCTGCCTTGATGCAACAGTATCTAACATTGAATAGGATTAATCTAACAGCAATTTGGACAATATGTGAACTATAACTACTGTCTAGGGCAACTGGCAGTTTTTGTTGCTTCTGTTGTCACAAAGATGTGAGAAGGCATGAGCAATTTAAAAACACAAATATGAATGTAAGCATGTTGACACATCTTGGTTGTCAGCTATGGGCTAAAACGTCAGAGACTTATGTTGATGTTGGGGCATTGAGGAAATGGTAAAACAGCTCACTTTTAAGGGAATATAGGTAGATTTTGCGTGAGGTATAGATTGGGATGATTTGTATATGATCATAAGAAATTTTGATTGCTTTCAAGATGAAGCAATAGACAAGACCTGTACATCTAGAAGAGCCTTATCTACCATTTCCCTTTGTAAACTTTCCTTGAAGTAGAAGAGATAACACACAGAATATAAGCTTTATAAGAGAGCAGATATGGAAAGCAAGAGAAGGAACAGGAGAAGAAAAGTAAAGTGAAAAGCATGACGAATAGGACAGGAAACATGCCTGGCTTATCCCTCTCCTTGTAGCTGGATGTCTTTGTATTGAAGTAAGACATTTCTCTGCAGAGGTAAAGTTAGACTTCTTATCTTGGAACATTGCAAATATCAAAACAAAATCAATAAGTCCATTTTCCATAGCACATGATTTTTTCTTGAGTCTGCTGCTTTACCTGGTATCTGAAGCTTTTATAGTGACATCTGGGACTGTCTTTCTCCTTTGCACCAGCTCACCCTAGCATTCGTCTGTTTGTCACCCATGGGGGGGATGAACAGTGTAAACGAGGCCATCCAGAATGGAGTACCCATGGTGGGCATTCCATTTTTTGCTGACCAACCTGAAAACATGGTCCGAGTAGAAGCAAAGAAAATTGGTGTTTCTATTCAGATGCAGAAGCTCAAGGCAGAGACATTTGCACTCACAATGAAAGAAGTCATAGAAAACAAGAGGTATGCAGCTCTCTGGGGTTGTGGTCCCTTAGGCCAAATGCAAGCCAAACAGAGAGCTGTGTTGTCTGTTTTCCAGTGAAACCAAAATTTTGTGTTCTCTGTTTTAATACGTTTGTGAGATATGAAGGTGTAGCTTTTCCTTTACTATTAATCTTAATTTTAGGTGAGGTGTGAAAAGATGTTTCTGCCTAAGGTGGTATGATGGTTTCCTTTCTAAGTAATATCTTTATGACCTCTTATATTTTGGTTACCTATAATAGAATTCCAGTTGAAACAGGAGAGAGCATGTGCATGGTATTGTGTCTGTCTCAATGAAGACTTCCTCTTTGGCCCTTTGAAATACCTGCACTGTTTGTGTTTGTCATAAACTAGCACATAGAAGTCACATATCATGAAGAAGCAGTGTGTATGAGTTCCATTCTGTTTCTATGGCTCAGGACAGGTCTGTTTTAAAGAAACTTTCACAGATATGGCACTAGTTGGGCAGGACCAGGAGCGTGGACACCCACACAGCTCTTGCCCATTCAGCAAAGTGACTTAACAGCACAACAGTAAAAAATATTCAGGTTTCAATGTCCTAATGGCTTAAGTCAGATATACATCTCTTACATTTGTTCACAGTATTTAGTATCTCATTCTTTCCATGCTATAGGGTGTAAAATATGTTTTTTTCTTTGCTACAAACAGTGACCACTTCTCTTAACTCCTGGCCAGCCCTCCTCCCAGTTTCCAGCCCAGCGCTTTCAAAGGTTTCTTCTAACCAACTGTTCCACCTTCAGTTTTCCTCTGCTTAAACAGTCTCTTCTCCCAGTTTTCCCTGTTCTAGCAGCTCCAAATTACAACAAGTGTTCTAGCCTATCTACTCAGCTCAGCTTCTTTTACTGACTCTACAGTCTTTTAACAGTATCTTCTGTACCAACTGCCTTCTCCTCACTGTGCTAGCCCAATTCACTTTCTCAGCCTCTGCTGCCTCTTTTATATCCTATCCTCTTTCCAGAATTCCAAGAGTCAACCAACACTGAAGGTCATAGGGTCAAGCAGCTCTAACAGCTAAGAAATTCTTTCCCAATAATTTATTTATTCATTCATTTTATATCCTGATTGCAATCCCCTCCTTCCAATTTACTTCTGACATAGCCCCTTCCATCCCAACTCACTTCTCATCTGAAAATGGGGCCTTTCCCCCCTTACCAACCCACCTAGGCACATCTGCCCCCTTATTAATCCACCTAGGCACATCTGCCCCCCTTATCAACCCACCCTGTCAATCAAGTCACTGCAGGACTAGGCACATACTCCTCTATGTGTCCAGACAAAGCAGGCCAGTTAGAAAACCAGAGTCCACAAGCAGCCAGCGGAGTCATGGACAGCTCCCTCTCCAATTGTTTGGGGATCTGTATGAAGACCAAGTCACACATCTGCTACATATGTGTTGGTGGTGGTATGAGGAGATAGGTTCAGTTTGTGTATTCTCTTTGTTTGGTAGTTCAGTCTCTGGGAGCCCTCAAGTGTCCAGGTTCTTGAACACTGTTGATCTTGTGTAGTCCCTGTCCCCTCAGGGTCCTTCAATCCTTCCCCCAACTCTGCTATAGGACTCACTGAACATGGTCTAATATTTGGCTGTAGGTCTCTGCATTTGTTTCCTTCATTTGTTTTGGTTCAGTCTCCTGGCCCTCTCTTCCTGAATGTCCCTACATCTGATATCCCCACCTCAATCCCCTACCCATGCCCTCTCATGTCCAGTTCTTTTTCTCCAATGATTATTGTATTTCTCCATCTAAATTTTTTTCACAAATTACTTATAATAATTCTTTGCAAGTTTTACTTTCATATTGAACTTTAGAAGGTGGTTTTGTACTTATTCTCTAAATTTTTTGCTTATGTGTAGTGTGTTTTGACCAACTCCATACCTTTATCTCTCCTCAAACTCTTCCATGTAATGTCTTAAACAGCACCCTCTCAACTTCATGTTTTACAATGTTTGCTTTTATTATTTATTTATTTATTTATTTATTTATTTATTTAATGATTCTTTAACCAATTTCAGTCAACTCTCCACATGTTCACAGTTTTGGCGGGGGTCATCTATTTGGCCATGGGAACTTTTGGATGGACTTGAGTAATGCCATGCGCGTAATCGTCTTGCCAGCAAGAACGCACGCAGGCACCAGGATCCTTCCGCAGCAAACATTTATTCCAATGTAATGAGGAAGACCCTGGGCCCGGAAAAGGCACTGTTTATATACCCTTGGAGCGGCGTGTTCACTTCTGATTGGCTGCTTACTTGTTACCTGCCAAAACGCCCCGGGATGGGCTGTGACTTTGGCGCGCTTTTACCATAGCACATGTGCGGTTTACTTGTTTACTTGGAGAAGCACCGGATGCCAGCGCCATCTTGTAATGGCGAATGCTGTCACCACAAGCCGCGGCTTTCCACAGAGTAACAATATTTATTTTGTTTAGAGTTGACCTATGGATATGCACTAGAAACCTTGTGTGTGTGTGTGTGTGTGTGTGTGTGTGTGTGTGTGAGAGAGAGAGAGAGAGAGAGAGAGAGACAGAGAGAGAGAGAGAGAGAAAGAGAGAAAGACAGAGACAGAGAGAGACAGAGAGAGAGACAGAGAGAGATAGAGAGACAGAGAGACAGAGAGACAGAGAGAGGAGAGGGAGAGAGACAGAGAGAGAGAAAGACAGAGAGACAGAGAGAGACATAGAGACAAACAGAGAGAGAGAGACAGAGAGACACATGCACACAGAGACAGAGAATGAGTATGGGAGAGAGAGAGAGAGAGAGAGAGAGAGAGAGAGAGAGAGAGAGAGAGAGAGAGAGAGGCTTGTATATATGTGTATATGTGTGTATATGATATAAGATCTAAATTCTGGCACAGAAATTGGTAATACCCTCCATCTTTCTATGTTCACAGGTACAAGTCTGCAGCAATGGCTTCCAAGATTATCAGGCAGTCCCATCCTCTGACACCTGCCCAGAGGCTTGTGGGCTGGATAGATCACATCTTGCAGACAGGGGGTGCAGCACATCTTAAGCCGCATGTTTTCCAGCAACCATGGTATGAGCAGTATCTGCTAGATGTCTTGCTCTTACTGCTAGGGCTCACACTGGGAACCTCATGGCTTTGTGTTAAGGTTCTTGGTGCTGTGGTCAGGTATCTGAGTGGAGTGAGGAAGGTCAAGCAGACATAATGGAGAAATGCTGGGCTTGGCTCTGGTGTGGGGATGGGAGGTCTGTGGCTCTTCAGAGGCTTTCCATAACTCAGCACAGAGCAACTCCAGCATTCTCTGCCTCCCTCTTCTACTGATGCACCTGAGTTGGTACCTCACTACTTTCAACCCCTTTGCTTGCTGTTTTTCTCCTATGACCTTCATCCATACTTAGATATAAACCATTTGCATCATGTGTTCTTTCTCCCACTCATTTATCCTGAACACACTGCTTCAATAGGCTAGTCCTCCCTGTGACTCCCCATGTTCTTCCCCACTACCTTCCTTCTGTCATTTGGGATTTAAAAGACATATTTGGTAAATTATTTTCACTTGCTCTTCTTCTCTTTTCCTATAAACACTCTTCAGAGCTCAGAACACCTGCTCTCCCTTTCTCGACAGTTTCCATTAGGCAGGAACAGCAGTCATTTTTAGGCTATTCTATAATGAATTGATTTAAGAAGATATGAAGTAGAAAAATATAATAATTAATTTTTTCATAAAAATCGGAATAAAAATGATGTTCTACTGTAAGAAAACACTTATTTCCAAATGTTAAGAAATTAAAAAAGGAAAGAACCTGTTGTCTATTATTCATTGGAGTAACGTGTGTGTTTAAAGTAGAATAAGCCAGAGTTTTATAAATATATGTAGAATGAGTTTCAGTGTTGTTAACTGAAATAACACCAAAGGAGCAATAAGTATGTCTTTTCACATTTTCTAAGATGCTAAGAGTTGATGCGCCATGAATAGTGAACATCTATGCTTCATACACTGTACTATAATTCTTGAAAAGAACTATAAGTTAGATAGTCATATGATGGTTCCTCTGCACTGTGTGGATATCATGCATTATAAAGAATCTTCACACATCACAGTTCACACTAACCACAGGTGTGCCAAGATTTTATTCACAAAACATGTTGAAATGAACAGAATAGGCAGATCCGTGAAATCAAATACACATCAAAATGTGTGTTCTTCATCTTATCACCAGGATTATTATGACCATGAAAAGCAAGAAAAACTAACACAATTAATGGCTAAAAGTCTTTTGAGTGTTAAATTCTCAGTTAAAGACTAACACACATGTAGATGACTTTTTGATTTACTGCGTGTGTTTCATATTTGTGTCCATGAGACTTTGAGATTCCTCTGCATAGGATTGAGCAAACAAATTTGTAAATAATTTTATAACACCAAGTATTGTACTCTTTAGTTTTCAAAGAGAGACTCAGATATGGCAATATGAGAAGAATAGTATCCAGTTAGAGTGTACTTCAATTTAAAGTATGACTAAGAATTCACAATTTGGTATGATACCGATAGGCCCTTCTAGATAGTTACATGGCATTTCATAACCCTATTTACACCTGTACATTTTCTAGCATATTTGGTTAGCATGAACTTGTCTCCATGTACTATGTGCCATGGAAAAGATTCATGGCACCTTGTAAATGTATGATTTGAAGACTGACTGGTAAGTAATATGATCATGAGGTCACAGGCAGAAAGAAAATACTCCAGAGGGCTGAATTTGCTGGAACAACACAGAAAATATCCGTGGTAGTGCATTATATCACTTTGAAATGACTTGTTTTAAAACCACCGAGATACTACAGTGGGTTAGACATTTTTTTTGCAAGCCTGGGAACTTAATTTCAAGTATAGGAATCTATGCCTGTGCAAGGTGAAAATCATCTCCATAAAATTTTCATTTCAACCGCACACATGCTTTGTGGCTTCTACACATCCAAGCACACACATCATGCAAACACACATAAATCATAAATGTAAAATAATTAAAACATATAAACATACAGATGATATATAGGACAGGTATGGTGGTCTTTGTCTCTAATCTCAGCAATAATTATTAGGGAGATTATCAGAGTTGAAGGCCCACTTGAACTGTATAATAACATTTCACAACAAACAAACACAAAGGCAATGCTCTTGGCAATAAAATATATTGTTGTAAATGTATGAAAATATAGTTAGAGATTGTTATTTGTCACTATCAGTGCACAGATTTCTTTCCTTACATCCTCAACATCATTTTATTCTTTTCTGCTTCTTAATGATAGTCGTTCTGACTGGTGTGAGAAGACATATTGATGTGGTTCTAATCTGAAGTTCTGTAATAACTAAGGATGTTATACAATCAGCCTAGGCATCTGCCAATAGGTTAACGGATGAAGAAAATATGGTATAGAATTCCATTAATGAAGAAGAATGGAATTACATTACTGCAGGTCCATTTAGGTGGCTGCCATTGGTGATTCTTATACTTAAATGGATAAATGCCATATTTTCTAAAATTTGTGGGATGCAGATTTTTATATAGACAGATGAAATCACTATTATATATGGGGTGATGGAGGTGAGACAGCATGAGAGAAGGAGGATGAGTAGAAAAGGAGACAGTATAAGTAGAAATGTTGTGTATATATGCTGGGGTTCACAAATCACTGAATAATAATAACCCATACTCAAATAGTATGCAAAAGCAAACAACATTTATCCCTACATGCAGGGCCCAATTTCTTCCAGCTGGAAGGACCCTGACTGAATTTTCAGAATCAGTTTTAAAGCCAAATAGGAACGTTAGGGTAAGGTAGGTTATCTGTATCTTGATTGGTGGGTTCTATCTCTGGGGGGTCTGTGTGATGCTATGATTCAGACTCCCTATTCTTACTTTGTGTCAAGCAGGGGGAACTCTTGACCTCTTGGCAGAAAACTTGGCTAAATGTCTTTTTGCAAGCTGTAGAGGATCCCTTTTATGTAAGCCTGTTGTTGTTTCAGTAACTGATTTGTCCAATTCTGGGATGTAGAAAGTCAAGCCTAGTCAATTGTTTGCAGCCTGTCATGGAGTCAGCCTGTCTCAGGCAATTCACTCCTTTCATATACATGGTGTTAAATAATATTATTTGACATAATATTGTATACTTTAATAAAAATGATTTTATAAATTGCATGATTATATATGTTGAATATGTGTCTATAAATTTTTTATTGAATATTTTATTTATTTACAATACAGATGTCATCCCCTTTCCTCATTTCCCCTCCTTAGAACTTCCTATCCTATACCCCATCTTCCTTTATGCTTTTATACCATTTTGATTACATGCATGTATTAAGGTCAGTTCTAGGTTGAGGAACTAGCAATACAATAGATGCAAATAATCAAGAAACAAGCAATACAATAAACACTGTCAAAAGAAATAGCAAGGCATTAAAACCAATTAAGTGAACACTCTCTCGTGATCACTGTTTCTAAAGGCTTATCAGGATAACCAAAGTATCTGAGCCTACTTCCCTGTCCTAGCTCAAGGTCCTATTCATGTCTGAAACCTACTTCCTTGTTCTTGCCTAAAATTTAGATTCCTGTGTCAAATTACTTGTTTGTTCTAGCCTAATATTTAGATTTCTGTCTGAGATTACTTCTTTGTTCTAGCCTAAGATTTAGATTCCTATCTGAAATTCCTTTTTTTGTTCTAGCCTAATGTCCGATTTCTGCCTGAAGCTTACTTCCTTGTCCTTGGCCAATGTCATATTCCTGCCAAGCATCCCATTTCCCTGTCCTTGGCCCATGTCAGATTCTTGCCGAGTAGCCCCAAAGACTGTCCATCTCTCCCCCTTTCTTTTTTCATTAACAAGACTGAGCCTGTCTTAGGTCATTTTGACAAGAATGCCTTCCTTACCCATCATGAAATATGCATTATCAAAAGCAATGCACTTCTGCCTTATGTTGGTAAGGCTCTGTAAAAATCATATCTGGGGTCTGCTCCTGTGGAGATACTGATTCCTGAGTCATTCTAGAGGAGCCACTGCACTCAGAGCAGTCGGTAAGAACTCCATCTCACTCCCTAAGCCCCAGAGATACATCTGGGAGCCAGGGACAGTCAGGACACAGCAGCTACCCAAACCCCGCCCTTCCAGAATTCCACTTCCCTTCCTCCCCTGCCTGGTCCTTTGGGCTGGGGCAGACACAGAGTTGGGTCTGCTCCTGTCCTGTGGAGATACTGAATCCTGAGTCATCCTAGAGGAGCCACTGCACTCAGAGCAGCCGACACAGAATTGGTCTGCTCCTGTGGAGATACTGACTCCTGAGTCATCCTAGAGGAGCCACTGCACTCAAAGCAGCAGACACCAAGGAGATTAGGATCATAAGACTACAGAGACATCTGGACTCTGAGGAGCTCTGCAATAAGCAAGATAACTGGAAATACAGACTCCAGTCTCACACAGTGAGGGCAGGTAACACTAGAGTTAACCAGATGGCGAAAGGCAAGTGCAAGAACATAAGCAACAGAAACCAAAGTTTCTTGGCATCATCAGTACCCAGTTCTCCCAATATAGCAAGCCCTGAACACCCCATCACACCTGAAAAGCAGGATTCAGAATTAAAATCACTTCTCATGATGATGATAGAGGATTATAAGGAGGAATTAAGTAACTCCCTTAAAGAAATACAGGAGAGTACAAGTAAACAGATAGAAGCCCTTAAAGAGGAATCACAGAAATCCCTTAAAGAAATGCAAGAAAACACAAAGAAGGAATTAAACAAAAACATTCAGGATCTGAAAATGGAAATAGAAACAATAAAGAAAGCTCAAAGGGAGACAACCATGGAAATAGAAAACCTAAGAAAGAGATCAGGAATCATAGACGCAAGCATCACCAACTGAATACAAGAGGTAGAAGAGAGAATCTCAAATGCAGAAGATACAGTGGAAAATATTGACACAGTTGTCAAAGAAAATGCAAAATGCAAAAAACTCCTAACTCAAAACATCCAGGAAATCCAGGACACAATGAGAAAACCAAACCTAAGGATAATAGGTATAGATGAGAATGAAGATTCCCAACTTAAAGGGACAGTAAATATCTTCAACAAAATTATTGAGGAAAACTTCCCTAACCTAAAGAACAAGATGTCCATAAACATACAAGAAGCCTACAGAACACCAAATAGA